CCCCCCCGGGCAGCCCCTCCACAGGGCCAGGCAGCCCCCAGCACATCCCCATCACGCTGGTGGTGTCAGGAGAGCTGGGCACGCTGGCCCCTGGCTCTCCCGGCACACAGGGGCTGCCAGGGCAGGGATCTGCTCACCGCTGTGCCATGCAGAGCCAGGCGGGTGGGTGCCAGCTCCTGCACCTCCCAGGTTGTCACACGTGGCCCCCCTGCCCCGAGCGGCATCGTCAGGGGACAAACAAACCCCTGTGCCAGGCGCGGGGCCAGTTGCACCCCCCTGGCTGGCTTGTTCCCCCAGGGTCCCTCCTGTCCCAAGGTGACAGACCCCCATCTCCGGCCATCCCATCCCACAGCAGAGGCACCTCTGCTGCCCATGGCTGCTGCTTCCCCACTAAGGACCCCCTTTGCCTGCCCCAAAGCACCCAGATGGGCAAACCCCAACCCAGGTTCCCTCACGCAGAGGGGACGGAGGCCCCCAGCACCCATCCATCCTTTGGGCCAGCAGGTGAGATGTTTGCAGAACCCCCCAGGGAAGAACCACGTCTTTTTTAACGTCCATTTATGGCCCCGTGGAGCCACCACCCGCAGTCCTGTGTGCACGACGTGATGCAGGAACGCGGCACCATCTCAGCTCCAGATAGATTTTTATGGGGACGGCAAAGAGCCCTCCCACAGTGGCATCAGGCGGATAAACAGATTAAAAACCTTCTCTTTGCTGGCTCCCTGCTCCCGAGCCACTTTTCCTGTCCATCCCACTGGGGCTTGGTGACCATCTCGGATCCCTCCCTTGTCTCTCCCCGCAAAATATCGGGGGGTGCTGGACAGGGATGCCAGCTGTAGCTCAGCGGGATGCTTTGATGCCCATCTCCCGGTCGACTGCCTGGAGGAAATGTTCGTTGAGGAAAAGCATCTGCCCGTGGGGCAGGAGACGATCCAGGAGGACGTCGGCGGCATCGGGTCGGAGCAGGACATCGGCGCCAGGGCCGAGGAGGCGCAGGGAGGTGAGCAGGCGGGGGGCCAGGCGGCGCAGGGTGATTTCAGCCAGCGATAGATTCTCTTGGGGGTCACAAACCAAGGCGAAGGCGAGGGCCACGACCGATAGCCAGGCTACCGTCACCCGTTCAGGGAAAGGATCCCCGGGGGGCAGCTGGAAAAGCCCCCCCGGGGCATCTTGCAGCGATATCGGCTCGTCGGGGAGCTGGGGGAGTTGGGGGGAGGATGGGCGCCCCGAGGATGACTGAAGCAGTCGGCACTGGGAGGCCACCTGCCTGAGAGAGAAGGGGGGATCCTCGCATTAAGACCTCCCTGTCCAGGGGTCCCGCCGAGCCCTGGCCCCCCAAAAGGAAGCTGTCACAGTTTTAGGGGTCCCACCACTGAGCCTAGAAGCCCCCAGGAAAGGGTGGGGTCCCATGGAGAAGGGGTGTCACTGCCCTGGGGGTCCTGCAAAGCCCAGGAGCCCCCCAAAAGGGAGGGGTGTCATGGCCCCAGGGGTCCCAATGAGCCTGGCACTGCTGGGAGGGGAGTGCCACAACTCTGAGGGTCCCGAGGTGGTGGGTGGGGTGGCGGTGCTTATGGTCCGGGGGGTCCCACCGAGCCCAGCACCCCCAGGAAGGGGGGTCCAATGGAGTGGGGGGGTGTCCCGGCCCCGGGGGGTCCCGCCGAGCCCCGCTCGCCCGGTGGAAGGAGGGGGATGTCCCGGGTACCTGGCCACGGCCAGCA